GGGGCTGGGGATGCTGCAGCTGAGGGGGGGTGTGAGGAGGGATGGAGGGATGCTCCTCACCTGGCCAAGGCTCGCCAGCTGGGGTGGAGGAGGGTGCTGCAACGGCTCTCGCCGCGCTTGCCTCGCCCTGCGTGCTCACCAAGGAGGTGAGGCTGTGGCCCCCCGATCTGTGCCCCCTGCCCCCCAGTCTGTGGAGCAGAGTTCAGCCTCCCGGGGCTGCCTTCCAGTCCTCCCCGGAGGATGCTGCGTGCCAGCGGGTGATGGAGGGCGGGACGTGGGGTTTGTAGCCCTCAGGGGGGTGGTGGGTGCAGTGAACTGACATCCCTCCCACGTGTGCCCTCCTTGGCAGGCTCGGCTCCCCCAGACTGCCCTCGACCTCGGCGCCCAGGCGCGTGCCCACCATGCCCGTGGTCGGTGTCCTGCTCTGGGCCACCCTGCTGACTCTGGGCTGGCGGGCTGCCCATCCCAAGGACCACGGCTTTGCTACCCCCAGGGTCCAGCTCTCCTTCAAAGGTAAGAGTCTGGTTGTTGGTGTGGGGGGCAGGGCGGGACCCCAAGATGGAGGAAACCACGGGCACCCCAGTACAGGCTCCTTCTCCTCCTCCTCCTCCTCGCTCGGGGGGCATCAGCAATCTGCACCCTCAGACATCTCCATGGGGATCCGTATTCAGGTGTGGCAGAGCTCCCAGTCTGCACCAGCACACGCAATCTTGGGGGGCTGGTAGCCTGCCTAGTCCCCCCAGTACGCTTCCTGTTGTGGGTGGGTGGCTCCCTCCATCTGGCAAAGCTGGGTGCTGAGGTGTGGGAAGCCCCCCCGGCAGCACCCCGATTCCAGACAGCAGCTTGACGCCGCCCCGACCCCCCCAGCTGGTATTAACGCCTGGGAGCTGGCAGGGAGCCGGGAGAGGCAGGAGGGGAGGGTGCTGGGTGGGGGGAAGGGGCTTAACCCTTTCGTACCGGGGCTGCTTAGCCCACCCAGCCCCTCTAGGAGCCGTGGGGGGACCCCTGGGTCAGCTCTGGGGTGCACATGGGTGGAGGGGTTTGGCTTGAGCTGCTGTTTTGAGGTTGCCGAGCAGGGCAGGCTGGGGCGCATGAGACAGGTCCCAGGGCTGCAAACCTGGAGGAGCAGAACGGAAATTCCCCCAGTTCCTGCTGGGAGCTTGCCTGCTTGGATGTGTGTCAGGAGGTGACAGTCGTGAGGAGCCTCATGTCTGCCTCCCCTTGGGGTCTGTGGGAGAGCTGGGGCTGTGCTGCCTGTGCCCCTCCTTTGCTGTCCCACTGCACCTTTGCCCTCTGGTCACCTGCTGAACCTGTGAGCCCAGGGATGTGGTGGCAGAACTGATGGTGAGCACAGCAGAGCCAGGCTGGGGGGCTGACAGCAAACTCAGTGAAGCAGCAACAGCCATGGGTGTTACAGGCTGGTCTTGACAGAAAAAATGGCTGGTATGAAGAGTCTGGGGACAAGTCCAGGCTGGAAAATAGTGAGCAAGTTCCTCCCCAGAGGCAGGCGCCACTTTGCTCTCCAAACAGCCTTCTTGGAGGGTTTTGGGGGCTGCTGGGGTTGTTTAGGTGCTGTACAGATGCTTCCCCACCTTAAGAGGCTTAAAACACCTCTTCCTCACATCTGTGGGGAGGGGAGGCTCCAGCAAAGTCCCAGCTGGACCTGCTGCCCACTGCCACACCATGGTGTGCTCCAGGAGTGAGATTAATTCCAGATAGGCATGGTTAATCTTGCTATGCCACGGGTTAGGGGCTGGTTTGGGGCTGGTTTTTTTTTGGCCCCAGCTGGTTGGAGCAATGGTTCCTGGCTGTACTCAGGATCTGCAGTCCTTCTCCCTCCTGCCTGAGGTGGCCTGGGGCAGGGCTGCCCCTGCCCTTGCTGCCTGGAGCGGGGATTTGTGCTGGGAGAAGGGCTGATTTGCATTGGCACATGGAGAAGAAATGCCAGTGGTGTGCTGGGTCCAAGCACATCGGGGTTGGGAAGGGGTGCTCACCTCTTTCCTGCCTGTACTCTGACAAGGGTGGCAGTGGTGGAGAATTTTCCCAGGGTCTTCCTTGAGGGCCAGCTGGGAGCTACACACCAAACTGCTGGTGAGCAGCTTCCTGACCTGATCATCCGCATGCAGCCTCCCTGAAGCCGTAGAACCATGAGATATGGGCTGACAGTGGCACTTTGTGGATGGCCCAGCCACTTCTCTTGCCTGGAGAGGCAGGGATGATACCCAAAGGCCGGCCCCAAATCTCCCAGTGCAGCTGCAGACGGTGGGGCTGGGTGTGATGGGTCTGGGCTGGGGGCACTGGTGTGATGAGCTGGGCTGGGCTCTGCTGTCAGGGATGGTTGTGCTGCCACAGGGCACCAGGTGGCCGTCTGTGCAGTCACAGCTGAGGGTCGCTGCCACAGCATCCCTCTGCCTGAAGCATCCCAGTGCCAGGGTGGGACTGAGGTGGCCCTGTGGCCAGAGTGCTGGGGAAGGAGCCGCCGTGTCCCCAAGTGTGTCCCCTGGTGCCTTGCCTGGGCTGCCTGGAGCCCTGCCAGCTGCGGGAGCGTCTCTGGGTTTGTTTGCCTTTGCTTGTTATCACGCGCCAGAGGTTTGTCGCAGCTCCCCGGGGCCTGCGTCATCCTCTACGGAGCCCCGGCGTCTCTGAGTGCATTAAAAAAAAATAAAAAAGTCTACAAAATACTGAAGTGATAGGAAAGGGGTGGGAACCGAGCTCCCGTGCCCTGGTGCAGGGTGACGGGCTGGGCAGGGTCAGTCCTCTCCCCATCCCGTCACCCCCGTGGTCTCTTTACGTCTGTCCTCCTCTCAAGGCTTTCCTGTCCGTGTGTCGGGAGGAGGAAGGTGACCAGCATGGAAAGAACAGTGCTGGGAGCGGCTCCGGCACAGCTCCCTTTTGCCAACAGCTCTTCCCAGATCCCAGCCCAGTGCTGGCCAGAAATAGGGTGGATATTTTTAATCATCTCCGTGCTAACAATTCACTCGCTCCCCGCACTGCCGTACACATCCTGCGGCCCCCTCTGCTCTGGGCCTTCCTCCGGGCCGGGGGCTCGGGCACCGCAGAGGCTGGCCCGTTCCCCACGAGGATGCAGGAGGTGATGATGATGGTGGTGGTGATTCATCCCTCCGTGTCCTGCTCCCTGTCCAGCGTGGGAAAAGCATGAGGGAAGGAAGGGTGGGCTCTCGCCCCGCATCATGGCGGGAAGCCCTCGAGGTCAGGGCTCTCCGTGGGGCTTCCAAACGGGAGCCGCTCCCCGCGGCGGGGGGACAGCCGTGCTGGCAGCTCTCGGAAAAGCTGTGGCTGAGGTCCAGCCGGGGCAGTCCTGACCGGGAGGGGTGGGGTGAGAGGCAGGGCAGTTCCTGCAGGGCTAAAAAGTTACTTTAAAAAGGGTGAATTGAGCATGGAGTCTCCTCTGGGCTCCACTGCCAGCCCCATGCATGGCCTCACTCCTGCCTGCCTCGTGCCTCAGTTTCCCCTCCCACCCCACTGGCATCTCTGCTGGTGGCCAGGAGATACCGGCACGCTTGATCTGGGCCAGGGGGTGGCAGATGGCTGGAGAGGAGCCCTGACAGGGGACCATGTCCTGGGGGCCGTCCAGGCGCCCTCCTAAGCTGCTGCAGCTGTGGGCACTGCTTGGCGACAGCAGGATGGGATAAACAGGGGGCTGAGAGCAGGGCCAAGGGCTTAGGGACAGCCAGTGCTGGAACACTGGCACTGTTGGTCCCCACCCTGGCGTGAGTGCCCCATGCTGCTCCTCAGACCTCTTAAAGGTCAGGGGGATGCCACAGTCCCCTTTTCTGTGCCATAAGGGGCGGGGACATGGGGCTGAACCCTGTGACCCCTAAGAGGATTTCCTTGGCTGGGACAGTGGGGGGCTGCGGCAGGGCCCCTCCACCCGCTGGGACCGGCTGCTGCTGGGGCTGAGCTCCCTGGCTCCGGCTGCGAAGCTCCATAAGCTCCTTAAACCCTCCCCCCACCAAAAAACCCTGTGCAATTTCAGCCCCCACCCCAAGCCTCTATGTAATAAGCTAGTTATCCTTCAAATTAACAATGCTCCTTATGGAACAGCATGGCCCTCGCTGGGGCTCTGGCATGGGTGTTCTCCCCACTCCAGTGCTGCTTGGGCACAGAGCAAAGGGCCTGGAGCAGCTGCAGTTTCCACCCGGCACCGTGCCCTCCCCTCAGGGGCTGCGGAAAGAAATAATGTCCAAACATTAAACACAAAAGCGCAAAGAGCAGTGGCTTGGGGCATCTCAGCTCAGCACTTGGCTTTTGGGGTGATTAAAGTAGTATTTTTCTGAAGCCAGGCTCTTTCCTGAAGGGGATTTCATGCTGCCGGAGCATCCCCCGACCCAGCCAAGATCCCGCTCACCGCTGCCGAGTGATGCTCCGTGGGGACGGGGTTCCCCCTGCCAGCGCTCCTCGCTGGGGCACATCCACACACCAGCGCTTGGGGCAGGCTCGCCCGGGGATGAATCAGCGGTTTCCGCTGAAAAAAAAAAAAAAAAAAAAAAATAAAAAAATGTGGGTTTTCTTTTTTTAATTTTTTTTTTAATTGTTTTTTGGCTGGCGCCCAAGCGGCCGGGCTGCGGTGGCTGCGGGGAGCACCCGGCCGGCACCTCTTTCATCCGCAGGGATTTGAGCGGGTGGCTGCAGCACCTGTCCTCTGCCACGGGTGCCGGCACGGGGCGATGCTCCAGGGGGGCTGGAGATGATCGGGGGTGGAAGGCAGCAAGCGGGAACAGGAGTCATTTCATCTCCCAAGCCCCTGCAAGGCAGCTTCGGTTTCCTCCCACCTGTGAATCGGTTAAATGGGAAAAGAGCTTGGCTGGGGGCCACGGAAACTCTCTTATTACATGTAATTAGCTTAATTACATCATAAATAACCCATCAAGGGGTAGCGGAGTGACGCTCAAACAAATAAGCAATTCTGCTTTCATCGGACGACCCACCCAGCTCTTTGATCAGCCCCAGTAACAACAAATGCTTTAACCACGAGAGGGGATACATCCAGCCCCCTATCCCTCTCCGGGCATCGCTCCCCATCCTGCTCCTCTGACGCGTACCCAAAAAACTGCATCTCAGATTTCAAGCAGGGAAAAAAATTAGTAGGGAACATAATCAAAATTTGGGGCACGCTTCTAAATTTGAGGGATAAAACGCTGCAGGATGGAGATGGGATTTATCCCTGCTGTGCCAGGCTCCCTTGGGATCGGTGCTGGGCTCCTCCATCGGCATTTAGAGTGAATTCATTCTTCCCCATGCAAAGAAAGGGCTCCCGAAAGGCGCTGGCTCCGCCA